CATCCCCGGAATTTTAGATTCTATAGGTCTGAGGTGAAGAATTTCCTTTTCTAAGAAGTTCCCAGGTGATGCTGATGCTGCTGGTCCAAAGACCACACTTAGAAAACCACTTGGATAAATTAGGGACTGCAGAGCAGAGAGAATGAAAGAAACTAGGTAGCTCTAGCTTACTCTACCACTAGAGTTGTTTTTTTTGCAACCAAAAGCATCCTAATATATTGTGCAATCTTGCCACTAAAAATTTACCCTATGGATATCTTTGCAGTTCATCAAAATACATGTCAATGGATGATCACTGTGGTATTGTTTGTAATAGCTAAATCTGAAAGCAATCAAAGCGTATTATCAATAGGGAATTGATCCATCTGATGGAATCATCCATCTAATGAAATACTATGTAGTATTAAAATTTACGAAATAGTCTGCATATACTCATAGAGAAATATCTCTTAAGTATAAAAATCATTATGACTAAAAGGGAGTCATTTATACCTTTTAAATAAAGAATGAATACAGGTAAATATATGCAAGTACATGCTTAATTGTTTCCTGGAAGGTTAATTACTCTTCCTAGAGGGTTAATTCTGATTAAGAATGGTTGTATTTGAGGAAAGGGGTTGGGATTGAGGTGGCGCTAGAGATTTTTTAGTCTCCATTCTGTACATTTTTATTCTGTTTGTAAAATTCTGTTTTATTCTGTTTGTAAAATTTCTTTTTTTTTTTTTAAGTATCATTTGGAGTTATCTAGGCAAGGCATAGGTCAATTTTAATTTCCTTCTTGTATTTATGTATTAAAAAAACAACTAATAAATGTTATATTATTTTTAAAAGATTAAATCATGAAAAGATGAATGAAAAAGTAAAGGTTTCTCAAGTACGAATTATAAAAATGCAGATTCTGATTCTGAGACACAGTCAGTAGATCTGAGGTAGAGCCTAATATTCTGCATTCTCATAGGCTCCCAAGTGATGCAAACGTTGCTGGACGACTGATCACACTTTGATAGCAAGAAAAAAGAAAAGGAAGAGGGGGATGGTGCCATGAAAATGAAGAGAAAGGGACAGATATGGGACATTGCAGAAGTAATGGGCATTTGGAATGAGAAAAGAGCCTAGGATGATGAGGTTTCTGGCCTGAGTGATGTGAGCATGCTGGTGACATTAACCAGAGATAGAGGAATCAAGCTGGAAGAGAGGAGGTATAGGAAACAATGGAGGAATGGGAGCAAGTCTTCACATTTAAACATATTGTGATTTTTCTGGGATGAACATTATGTGGACTTGTCCAGACAACAATTTGAACTCTGCGTCTGCTCAACAGAGTTCAGCAGAGGCAGAATTGGGAGTCATCCATATAAAGGTAAGAGATTGAAGCCATGGGATAGAATGAAGCTGACGAAGGAGAAAGAATAGTGAGAAGATGGCTGAGAACAGAAGTTCTGAGAAATGCTAATAAGAGACATGCTAAGGAAGGAAAGAAGTAGTCAGAGAAACAGTACAGAAGACTAGATATATTGAAGGGCCCTCCTACTACAGAATAACTAGTTCCTGCATAAAACATATTTTTTTATTGTATTGCTTGATGTTTAAGTTAGCAATTGCTATATAATGAACCATCTCAAAACTCAGTGGCTTGAAACCATACTATTATTGCTCATGAGCCTCTGGGTTGGCTACATAGCTCTACTGATCTGGACTAGGCTTGGCTGATCTTGGCTGGGCTCACTCATGTATCTGTGGTTTGCCAGTGAGTTGGCTGGGGGCTGGACAGGTCTAAAGTGGTCTTGGCTGGTATAGCTGGACAACTGGGTCTATCAGCCTCCAGAAGGCTAGCCCAGGATTGTTCACTTGATAGTTCCAGGGTTCTTGAGGCCTAGGCTTGGAACTGACATAATATCACTTCTGCAATAGTCTGCTGACCAAAGCGAAACATAAGAGTAGTCCAAAAGTTGAAGGGTGAAGAAACAGATACTGCCTCTTAATGGGAGGAGATGCAAAAGGTATAGGTACCTGGAGATGTGAACAACTGTAGCCATCTCTGTAATCAATTTATCATGCTGGTTTTACCAGAAGTAAAAAGAATCTTTAAAGAGCAAGCGAACAAAGCAAGCAAGTAAGCAAACAAACAAAGCCATGACAACAGCAACAAATCCCAATGACCTGGCTGGAGAGAGCAGGGCTCTTGAGGAAAATTAAGGTGGTATTATTGGAAGAAATGAGGAAAGGCTGCTGGTCAGGTAGAAAACAGCTAGGCATCTGCCTCAGAATTTAAGCATCTAACCTTTTTCATGAGAACATTCTAGAAAGACTTTAACTTGACATAGAGCAGTCTTGGTCTTTTCGGTCTTTGAAACCAATATGCACATGAGGCAACTTTTAGGAGTTTGAGCTTGGACTCAAAACCAGTATGTCAAACATGTCTTCTTAATGTATTAGAAGTGTTTTCACACACACTAGCTCGTGTTATTCTAACTATCTGTAAGAGGTAGCACAGGCATTATTATTCTCATTTAATACCACTTTTATATTTGTTTGTTTGTTTGTTTGTTTTTTAGGCGAGGCAATCCTTGGTTGACCTCACAGATTGCAAGGACCTCGTCAGCTTACAATCCCTTATTTTTTCAGTTTTTACGCCTACAGCACCTGATCTTCCTAGGTGGTCTCCCATCCAAGTACTAACCAGGCTGACCCTACTTAGCTTCCGAGATCAGACAGGATCGGGCTTGTTCAGGGTAGCATGGCCGTAGAAGGTCACAGAATTCTTTAAGAGTCTTGAAAAAGGTATGCGCCCTTTCACCGAGAAAAGTTATCTATACTTAGACACAAAATGTTGCTTACAATTGCCTGGATAGAAATAAGGCAGAGCAACTGCAACAATTCAGGTGAGACATAAGGAGGCCTGAACTAAGCCACAGCAGCAGGGACAAGAAAGAGACAGATGTGAGAAACAGCAATATAGTTGAGTGTTATTCTATAGGGAAGAGGCAAGAGAATTAAATGTTAATTCAAGCTATAATAAGAGACTGCAATGTGCTAATCAGCCCTATGGCCAGACCACAAGGAAATCTGCAGAACAAAGGCAGATTTCTGCTGGGATTACTAACAAACCATTTACCCATACTGTGAAGGGAAAACAGGAAAACAGAGTCTTTAAGCTGGGCCCTACACAAAATAAACACAACCATTCATTCTCTAAGGCTAAAACAGAGGGGAACCTATGGATCAAAGGCTGGGAATTGCCGGCAGGTCTTTCACGCTACATATTCTTATGTTTCACACTATATGCCCAAACCATCAAAGGAAGGTGGGTAAACAAAGTCTTTAAACTGTAATTCATAGAAACCAAGAATGATATATAAACTGAATTCCCAGAATGCTCAGAACTGTGTCTTTGCTTTTGGTCCTTGCTTTTTGTCTTTGTTTTTTCTTGTCTTTGCTTTTTGTGTCTTGGTTTTTTTCTCTGTCCTTCTCTAATAAACTTTCTTTTTTGACTCCAACTCTGGCATACGCTTGAATTCTTTTCTTTGCTCAGTCAAGAACTCTCTCTTGGTGCAGGGCCACTAGGAGAAATTTGCCCCATCCTGCATCATCTTTCCTGGCTAACCATGCAGGGACCAAAAGGACATAAACTCGATCCATCCAAGTTCGACATGGTTCCCCCTCTTTTTCTGAGAGGGTGGCTGGGATATTGTCCAGAGCCATGCTGATCAACTGGCCTTGGCAAATGGTTGACCCTGTTTCCAGGGATCTGGTAGAGGCCAATCCTCTAACCAAGCAGGAGTCCCGTCTGTTTTTCCTACTTCTCTTCCCCCAACTTCCCTGAAACTTGGCATTTCCATCAGAACTGTGGAGGAGACCTGCTGAGGGACCGCTTTCAAACTCCAAATTAAAGACTGCATAGCAATCTTTTGGCCACAACAGGATGGATAAGGCCCCTTAGCCTTTTCCTTGCTCCCTCCCCTCTAGTGGGAACTCTGTACTCCAGCTGAACTCTCTAACCTCATGCTTTATCTGACCTGTCCTCATTTCTCAAATGGCTACAGAACGCCAGAGAAATCTTTAGAGAAAGCCCAAATCACACAGAACTGAGAACTAGGCATGGCCACCCTACCCCAATTGTATCAGGTCCCTCAGCCTTCTTCCCCAACAGTGCGAGCTTGTGCTCCCCTCCCCCCTCTCTCCCTTCCTCCCTTCTCTCTCTCACTCAATGCAGGACCACCTGGGGGACATTGCCCTGTCTTGCATCATTATCAACAGATCTTGTAACAAATTTGATTTGACAAATGAGGAAAAGGTACAAGTCTCCGATAACTCCACTGGTTTGGGGTTTAGACGACTGCACGCATGGAGAGGAGAAGGCTTCAGAAAAGAGGATGGGTTTGGTTTGGGAAATGTCAAGTCAAATGTGCCTTTAGACTTATTTCACTTAGCACAATACCCTCTAGGTCCATCCATTCTGTCACAAAAGGTAAGACTTCATTCTTTTTTAATGGTCTTAAAAAAACAAAAACGAACAAACAAAACAGAAAGACTCATAGATACAGAGAACAAACTGATGGTTGCTAGATAGGAGGAGGGTGGTAGGGCTGGGTGAAAAAGGCAAAGGGATTAAAAAGTACAAATTGGTAGTTACAAAAGGGTCATGAAGATGTAAAGTACAGCATAAGAAATATAGTCAATAATGTTATAATAACTATACATGTCAGATGGGCACTAAACCTATTGGGATATCACTCTGTAAGTTATATAAATGTCTAAACATTATGCTTTATACCTGAAACTAATATAATATTGAATGTCAACTGTAATTGAAAAGTAAGAATTAAAAATATATATACAAAAAAAGTGCCTTTAGAACATCTAAAT